CTCCTTTGCTGAGGCCTTTAAACAGAAGCCGGGGGGCCATTTGTCAGGGAAGCTGTAAGTGGATTTCTACTCTGGGCAGGGAGTTGAACTAAATTATCTCCAAAGACTCTTCCAGCCCTTGACTGGCTATGATTCTACAGCAGGAAGACAAACTGTTCTGGTGAACCCAGCTGGAAGTAAAATGTGAAGCCAATTGCAAAGCAAAACCACAAACCTTCTTTGGCTCTGAGGAATGTGGCAGCGCTTCCCATGAAGGCAGACCAAATCTCAAAAGTAACAGAAAACTTACATCTCCATTTCTTACATCATTTACATCTATATTTCTTGTTTCTCTTCATATCTGGTCTACGATAAGCTGAACTCTGCATCTCTCTGCAACTGACAGGCCAAAATGGTGAGAACTGAAGCCTGTCTTAATACATAATTCCTCCTCCAATGTTCTCGCATGACATTCCCGACATTTATTGCCCTGACCTGTGCTGGGATGGATGGATGGATGGGTAAACAAACAAACGAACAAACAAAGGCTATTTTTTTCCTACAACCATTTGTTTGTTGATTTCTTCAGCTTTTATGCCATGACATTTCCAGAGCCTCTGAACAACATACAAGACATGGGGTTAAAAACAGCAACTTCACATACTTGGCTGAGACACCACCATTTGAGGGTAGTGTAGCTTTAATTGTCTCCTAATGCTTTTCTGGGGAACCAAATTTTTGCAGCTCTTCTAATACGAAACAGGGAACCGAACCAGCGCCAGCTGTAGGCGTCAAAGCTCGGCAAACGTCTTTGCCTGCTCACATTTGACATGTGCCACATTTCCCAATCTTGAAACACAGGACCTTGTCCTGTGAGTATACTCCGTTTTTTAATTAACCTCTGAAGAGAGGCTGCTTGAACAAACTAGCTCTTCCTATTTATTCTCACAAGTTGTGAGATAGCAAACCCAAATTAGATAATTATTTCCCTCTTTTGTCTTAGCAGGTGGCCAATGTCTGCTAGACACTTAATCCTCATTAACATGTAACCCTTCCTTGCTGGTGCCTAAACTATGCAACTGGGGGTGGGGGGAGAGAAAGAGGTTGAAAGGCTGTAAAGCTTGCCCAATAAAAGCAACCCCTTTGTAAATCAATTCCATGGGATATGTTTGACTCCTGAGAAAGTAGACAGGCTTGTCTATGCAGTCAGCTTGGCCACCTGTTTACTGGATCCGGGCCCCTCCTAGATCGTCAAAGTGGCCAAAAAGGTGACCCACAGTTGGGTCCATGCTGTGGTGTGGACTTCTTTGATAGAGGGGGTGGTGACCCCAGCCTTGAAAAAGGCAGTGCTGGGCCCCTTGGACCCAATGGTTTTTGACAACTACTGACCTACTTAAACTAACCTTCCTTTTTGGGGGAAGATTGTTAAGGAGGTGGTTGGTCTGCAGCTGATGAGAACCCTGGAGGAAACGGACTATCTAGACCCATTTCAGTGGGGTTTAAGGCTGGGATTTAGTACTGAGCAATCTTGATCACGCTTGTCGATGACCTGTGGTGGAGCCGGGATGGCGGTGATGTGTCCATCCTTGTGCTCCTTCATCATTCTCAGCAGTTTTCAATGCCAGAGTATCCTTCTGAGCCAGCTCCATGGGTTGGGGATGGGGGGACTCTTCCTTTCTCCAGAGCCAATCTTCCCCCAAAAATGTTGGTTGGGGGGGAGACATCACACCCTCGGCCCCTCCCTTGTGGGCTGCTGCTGGGTTTTACTCTCTTCCCCTCCCTTTTCAACTTCTACATAAAACTGCTAAGTGAGGTCATCTGCCAGTCTGGGGTTCAGTATCATCAGTGTACCAGCCAAGTGAGGCTATTGAGGTCTGTCCCAGGGCCTGGAGGCTGTGTGGGTTTGGATGGAGGGGACCATTTCTGACTCAATCTTACCAAGACTGAGTGGCTGTCCGCATTTGAACTGCCCAGATCTTCCATCTTTGAACTTCAATGGGGTAGCACTTCCCCCTTCAAGGTTGATACACAATCTGGGGGGCTTCCTGGACTTGCAGCTCCTGCTTGAAGAGGTATCAGCTGTGGCTAGGAAGGCCTTTGCACAATTCCATCTGGTGTGCCAGTTATGCCCTTTCCTAAATCGGGGGCCCTTCAGACAGTCACTCATGCCCTAGTTGCCTTGTGGCTTGAATACTCTGTGTTCTACAGGGAACATTCAGGTGGTCTTCAAGGGCACTGAAGACCACCTGGAAGCTTCAACTGTCAAGAATGTGGTGGCGCAAGCAGCAATGGGCCTCTCTTGGTATACCCATGTAACACCTCTGGTTCATGAGCTGTATCGGTTGCCAGTTTGCTTCTGGGTGATTCAAGGTGCTGGTTACCTATAAAGTCCTACATGGCACAGGGCCTGGTCACTTGAAAGACTGCCAGTCTCTGTATAACATCTGCCTGGGCGATTTGATCCTGCAGGGTTGGTGCACTTTGGCTTCCTTCAATTAAATGTGTCATCTATCAGGACCCCAGAGCGCACCTTCTGGGGAGCAGTGCCTGCCCTCTGGAATGAGATTCCCCCCAAGATCAAAATGGCCCAAGCGAGATCCCTTGCTTCATCACACTTGTCATCTTTTTTCCTTCATTTTTTATTATAATTTCTTTGATTGTTGTGAGCTACCCAAAGTCGTTGAGAGTCAGGTGGCACGTGTTTAATAAATTATTACATTATTATTATTATTGTGATTGGTTGCACAGTCAGCCAGATATTTAGACTGGATTTGGCATTTTTATCCACCTATCGAGTCCTTCCCAAGGACCTGGGATGGGGAGATGTTGATGGTGTTAAAGGTATTGGTGCAGGATGTGAGCTGTTCCATGTAAAGCTGCCTTTGGCAATGAACTGACGGTGATTTTCTCAATGCCGAAGATCTTCAAGGGGTGCTCCAGATGTTTTGGGACTCCACCCAAGGCACCTATTCCTATTGGGACTACCTCTGCTTTCTTTTGCCATAATTGTTCTACTTCTAATTGCAGGTCTTTGTATTTTGTGATTTCCTCCAGTTCTTTCTCTTCTATTCTGCTATCTCCAGGTACTGTAATGTCCACTATCCAGACTTTTTTGTCTTTCTTAATTGTTAAGTAATTGTTCAGTTGTTGTTATTATTATTTCCTCCCTACTACTTTGGCTCACCATGGGAATTGTGGGAGGAATGTGACGTTGTAAGTACTGGGTTTTTGTTAATAAATTATTAATTGTAATTATCCGGGCATCTTCTCCTGTGTACACCTCTTCATATCTGACCTGCATATTATAAATTAGCTGGCAACAGAGCTGAACAAAGGTAGAAGCAAGTTCTCCTATGCCTGGGACACAGGGCATAAGATGGGAAGGATGGAGAACGGACAACCAAATCTCTGGTTCTCCTTCCAACGAGCCTTAATCTGCAGCAGCGTCTTTTCCAGAAATACCCCAGGGGTGTCTACTGCATTTTCACCAGGCTCTTAATGGAAACTGAAGATGTCCCAAAGACCCACCCAAAATGACAATTACAGAAGCTCT